TGGGTTTTATTGGCATGAATAAATTTCACTGTATAACCGAAATAAAAAGATCATAATTTTGTAGGATTTCATTGATTGGATTCATCATGACAAAATCATATTTACATCTGCGACAAGTTATAATATCGAAGAGATAAGATCGCTCGATCGTCTCTTGATTCTATTAGAATTGAGCGTTCTATTTGCAACAGATAAATTAATAGAAGATATAACCGACAGGCTTGAGAGACACTTTATGTCACCAAAATATGTAATTGACATTTGGTTACTGGCACAAGAACTTAATATTAATGTGCTACGAGATCTTTCTTTGGCTGTTTGCTTAGATCGTTTCGATGAACTGCCACTCGATTCAATTTGTGAGTTGTCGAAAAAGCATTTTATAAGGTTAATTGGAAACATCAATTTAAGAGCTACAGAATCTCATTTGCTTGATATTACACGCGAGTGGATGAACCATCATCATGTGAGTATATTATGTTCAAAAATTACATTTAGTTATTTTTGATAATATAATGTTAGGAACACAGAGTTATAAGCCCTTTAATATATTTTAAATAAAATAATGATTTCTAACTCCAAGATCTATATATCCTCCACATATTTATTTTGTTTCTTTACCATACTATTATTTTTTATTATACATTAAATTAATGCATTAAAATTCTATGAATAATAAAACTTATTTTTTGCAGGATTTTACAGTTTTTTTAGATATCATTGAAAATAAGAAAGCAAAAATTTTACAGGGTGTTATGTCTTGTGAGAATATTAATGGTGAACAATATATTCATTGCTGGGATGGTAATGATTTTTTTGAGCTAACTTCATTCAAATATTCTACAAATGTTGTTGAGAAGAGTCACGTTACTGGTAAACCACTCGAAGGAGTGCAGATCACTGCCAGAAGTATGCAGTGTTTTTTTTGTTCTATTTTCTCTAAAACAGTATTGTATTATTTACCTAGTTAAATATTGTTTTATGTGATTTTTTTTAGGATACGATTTATATCTTTGTGGTGGAGAATATGGTATTGGTTCAAAAAAGTTTAACAAAAATGTATGGCGTTATTCTTTGATATCTAAGAAATGGATTCTTGAGACAGTGTAAATATCCTAACGATTAGATAAATAATAAGAATAAATAGATGAGTAATAATAGAATAAATAAAATTGTAATCTGTTTACAAATTAAAATCTGTTTACAAATATTTTAGTATGCCAGTTGAGAGAAGACATATGA